TTCAATTTAATAATAATAAACCTTTGTTTAATATTATACTGTTTTATTATACTTTTACATTAATTTAGTAAGCTGACATATCATCAGCACAGGTCACGGCCATTAAGGAATGCATAACCGTTGGGCTGTCCTTTGATTTTTGCAAAATTAAATATACGGTCTCATTTCGTATTACTCAATGGTTGAGTTTTTCAATCGCGTGAGTCGATCCAGCGTGATTGCGGGCACATTCCATGAGTGCCGTCACAAGGTGCTGACACTTGAGGGGCTGGGTCGCGTTAGAAGTGTAGCAGAGCTGCAGGGCGGTACGCTGCGCTGCACATGGAAGCACCGGCCTTTCCACAGCCACACTGACTCGGTCGAGCATGGAGTCCAACGTCGACAAACACTCGCACATGATACAGTAGTGGTCGCTGAGCAACTCGCCGATCTCATCCAATGTACAAGCAGAGCACTTCTCATTATCTTCGTCAGACACAAGCTTGGCGACAGGATTAGTGTTACAATTTGTCTCATTACTTTTAAAACCTAATAAAAAAACATTTGAGAATTCGGTTAAAAAAATAAAATACATGTTCTGTAGACGGCATTTTGATTGTTTACAAAAAAATCGCTATGGTCGCCGCAGAGATTTTAAATAAAAATCCTTTTTGGATCAAAGTGTTTATTAGAATAAAATAAAATCTTTAGGAACATTTATGGCACAAATAAACGTATAAAATAATTACATTTCTTTTTTTTAGGTTTTCTCCTTACTCATGTCTTCAAAAGTTACTTAGTTGTTGGTCTGACTTTTGAAAACTTTTCATCTTGACAGGGTTGCCACTAGATATTCTTTTACTTTTAAAAATATAAAAGAAATATTCTATTACTGTCGCTGTACTACAACAGCAATGAATTGAGTGTTAATTAATAAAATCCAAATAAAAGACTCTTATTTAACGATAAGTTTTCCAGCCTCGCTTGTTTACTTACAGGGTTACTGGGTAGGTCGACCTAAATACTTTAAGGGGTTGTAGTTGCCAATCTATCAGAAATGATCGCAATTACAACCCTTTAAAGTATTTAGGTCGACGTACCCAGTAACGCTGTATAAAAATAAATGCAGATATGGGTACATTCATCAGAAGTTCAATAGCCATGTAAAATAAACTTTAAAAGTAGTTTAAAAATGACACAATGATTAACTAATAATTATTTCGTAGTAAGGACCATAAGCACAGTATTTAGTGACACAGTAAATGTGACTAAATCTTACATAAATCTATATTAATGGTTGATTTTTAATCACACTCTTCTTTGGATTTCTAAGAAACAAATTCATTATTTTCCATAATATCAATTTTCCATTCGTCTTTATTATGGTACTCTACTGAGTTTTTGTTGTAAAACTAGGGCTTGCAACCAAAATTGTATGTATGGATCATCAAATTAAATCATCAGATCCAATTAAGAATATAGTATCGTATCGTATAGTGAAAATATTCAGGCATGTCATTACCATTCAGAACATATATCACAAAATGACGTGAACGGTGCCAGTCACGTGTTCAGTTATTCATGTCAACTTGCCAAGTTTCAACTTATAGATACATACTCACACCATACATAGACATAGGTAAAAAATCATTGGCCCCACTTGTGTAACGCATTGCCATGGGACTTGCATGGGCATATTGGACGTGTTTGAAACGGAATAGTAGATGAAAAGAGAAAGAAGGATAGCCGGTCTGAGGCGAATACATGTAATTTGAATTAGGTTGTGTCGGAAAGACGAAAGTTAGTCATATTAGCGAAACAACTTATCGCGCTTAAAACTATCTCTCGAACTATTGACACTTAATGATATTGTCCAATTACGCTGGCCTCTAAGTAAAGTACAATAAGTAACGTAACATAACTCTAAGTAACGTAAATTTACTCGGTAAAAACGAGTGCTTTATTTTAATAGCTAATCAGACTTATAAAGATAATAATTTTATAAGTCTGATTTAGATTGCATAATCTACACAAATAAATAAAATTAGAGTGTCTGTTTGTAATTTTAAAATAACCGCTTTTTACTAAATGCATATGTATGTTTACACGGTACATATACCAAAATAACAGTTTTTACAATTTTTGTCTGTCTGTCTGTCTGTCTGTTTGTTCCGGGTAATCTCTAGAACGGCTAGACCAATTTCGACGGGACTTTCACTGGTAGATAGCTGATGACATAAGGAGTAACTTAGGCTACTTTTTTTAGACTAGCTTCGCCCCGCGGCGTTGCCCGCGGTTATAACAACAAACGCGGGTAACACCGCGGGTCTCAGCTAGTACTAAATATATTCCATAAATATTATGTGATTTCAACTTTACAACGTAATTATTATATTTTATTGTATTACAGCGACAAAGACATATACTCGTATTGTAAAAAGAAATGATTTCAACAAACACTGTAAAACCCCTTGACTTTAATTCGTTTTATATAAGACAGTTTCAACAAAATTATTGCGAAGCCGAGTTTTGTTTAGTTGCAATAGTTAATGAGCAGGCATTCGACAATGGATGTGACATTGATGCGTGATCGCTGACATCTGCCAACTATGTTGTGTATGATCCAGACGATACCACACCGTGACGGACTTTCGACGATAATTAATGTCCGACACTGATCAACTGATATCTGGCGGAATTCATGCAAGTTCGGGGACGCATTCTTTATAACAACGTTACGTTACGTTACGAAAACAAAATATTGCTAGAAAGCAAGACCAAAATAATGCAAGCGCATTCATGGACCTGCTTAATTTCATATTTTTATTTATTAGTTTATAAACATCCATAAGTTACTAATATCCTAACTGGCTGGTTTCTTCATAATCATTTTCAGACGGACAAGAGAAGACTGGGTAAGGGATAAAGCAAGTCTCATATGAGAAATGGAACGAAGACTAGCAATATGAAAAGGCCGGGGTCATAGAGCTGTATGCACGTCGTGTGATTGAATAAAATAATATTAATCGATGGTATGTATGGTCATGCGTGTGAGTTTGTGTTTGAGGTAATCTCCAGATAGCCCATTTAGCGAGAAAGGCTATAGGCCAAATAATATCACGCTAAGACGAATAGGAGCCCAGCAGCAACGAAATACGTTTCAAAAACGGGGAAAATTTATTCCTTTTGAGAAACGCAGGCGAAGTTAAGCTTTGTTAAAACACAAACTTTTAGTGATAGATTTTAGTTTAGGAAACTAAGCAAGGTGAGCTATAATCTCCACATCTCCTAAATGTAATACTGTGTACTTACGGCACGATTATCGAGTTACTGACAAGAGTGATCATTATTTTCTTATTCTTTAAGTATAAAATTGAATAACATATAAACACACACAATATATAGCATAAAATACGCATTGTGTTCAATATAACAATCGATATTGATTACAAAATTATTTATAATTGTTAGGAACTAATTTTTAATGAAACAGTTTCATCGTCGATTGAATTTCCAAAAGAAACTGAAATAATTACATGATTTTAGAACATAAGCATCTTAATATATAAATTGACATAGCTATCTTTGGAAATAATTTGACTACATTAATAAAACTAGATACTATTTTGAACCATTTTTCAGTACATGTTATAGGAATACTACCGTGAAATGCATCAGTGGCTTATAATTCATTGGTCACGTGACATGGCACATTTACTTCGACGATTGCCGAGTCCTCCGTGTCACTTATATATCCGTCTTGGCCCGTGTAGTGTGTTGGGTTGACCAGGAGAGGTGCTGCCGAGTATGCTTGAAGGTTGCGCACAGGAAAGTGAGCCTTCCACTCGTCACTAAACAAAAAATTGAAACTATAACTCCCGCCTGCAAACCAGTCGTTTCTGTATTAATAAGGTCGGTTTTGGTTGCTTTTAGATCACTCTACACTTCTTACTTGGGATATTACGATAATTCGACTATTTACCGTATACATCATCATCATCATCATCATCATCATCAACAGCCTTTAACAGTCCACTGCTGGACATAGGCCTCACCGTATACATCACTACTTAATCACTGGACAGGTTTGCTGAAAGAGGGCTCAGGTTTGGATTAAGGTAGTTTGTGTACATACTAACTTATGTGTGCAACGATGAATACATAAAATGAAAATGAAAGATAATTACTTAGATTATAATAATAATAATAATAATAATAATTTATTTTCAGACTAAGTCCATATAATTTGTTAGTAACAATATTCTTAGCCTAGTGTTAGTAACATCAGTCAGGCGCTTGGTCTCACGTGTAGGCCTATCCAGTGTGCCATCAGTGCCGAGTCCATTCGACCGGCGCTCGCGGTCAGGATGGCGCTGGGGCTGCCGCGCGCCCGTGCCATCATTGATGCACAGCGCTTTCGCATTATCGCGTGAAAGCCGTCCACGTGCGCCTCTGCAAACATGCTACTCGCGCTACAGAACCGCGGCAGCCCCATCAACACCCTGAATGCATTATTGTACTGCACACGCAAGGCGTCGTAGGTCCTCTGCGTGTAATTGACCCACAAGCTGCACGTGTAGAAAGTCTGGCAGAATGCCCTAAATAGTGTAACCTTCACTTTTTCAGTGCAGCGTGCAAATCTGCGAGCCAACATATTACAGCGAACAGACAACGCCCTACGTTCCCTTTCCATATCCATATTACCTTTAAGATCCTCCGGTGACCCAGTGGCCCAGATACTTGAAGTGAGTGACTCTGTTTAAAGGTGTCCCATAGAGTGATACGGATGGTATCTCTAAATAAACCTTTTTGGGTGCTCTAAACACTATAATCTCACTTTTCTTCACGTTATATCTGAGCCTATGAGCCTCAGCGTATCTTTCACAAATACGTATCAGCCTGCGCAACGCCCCGATTGAAGGACTGAGCAGTACCATATCATCCGCGTAACTAATATTATTAACGCAAATTCCTTCTATATGACAACCAATTCCGGTGCTGCTTAGCTCTCCAATCAGGCCGTTCATATACAAATTGAACAGTTTCGGTGATGTCAGTCCCCCCTGACGCACCCCGCACTCCAGCCCGTACTCATCCGATGCACCATCCGCCCACCTCACAGTATTTTTCTGATTATTGTACCAGTACATAAATATGGATACAATCTCAGGAGGGAGACTAGTGTCTTTATGCATTTTTGTCCACAGTAGCTCGTATGAAACCATATCGAATGCCCTGGACAGGTCCAGAAAACACGCGTATACTGGCGTTTTACGCGCGGTATAGTACTGCACAGTCTGCTTGAGGCACATGATTGCACTATCCGTCGATAGACCAGGCCAAAAGCCGAACTGACCGTCATGCAGTTTGATGTGTTTAGATAAGTGACCGTCAAGCAGACTGTCCATCACTTTCGCTATAATTGTAGCCAAGGATATAGGCCTATAGTTTGACCTGTCCGAGCCATCGCCGGTCTTGTTTTTTACAATGGGGACAACAATAGTATGCATGAAATCGTCAGGCAGGTAGGAGTGGCTAACACACAGATTAAACAGCAAAGCAAGGACTCCAGGTAAGTGTACCCCAGCATACCGTAGGTGTTCGATACTGAGGTTATCATGACCTGGAGACTTTCCTCGTTTCATAGAATGGATAGCTAAAGAAATATCCTTTTCACAGAATCTTACATTAATATCTCCATTGGCCACCGACAATGGTTCCGACTGTGCAGATCCCATAAGCGGTTCAATTCTGAAATGCTGCTGAAATAAGCTCGCGATATCATTCGGCTCATGTACACCCCCGACGCTCACGGGACGACTCGGCTTCAGATTCAACTTGTTCGTTGATTTCCAGAACTTAGAAAAGTTATTATTGCAATGGTGCTGAGCTATTATATCCATCTTAATTTGTTGTTGGTTATTTTGACACCATTTCAATTTCCCCTTAAATGATCGCCTAGACTCAGTCATTTCGTTGTATATCCGGCCAGAGCTAGGTTTACCATACACTAACCAATTTTGATAACATTGCCGAGCCATTCCGTGAGCCTCCCTAACGTATCTGTTCCATCCTATTATGTGCTTGCCCCTATCAAAATTTGGGGTCGCACTGTAGGAGTACTCCGCGCCCTCAGTCAGTATACGCACTATTATTTTATACATATCATTAATTAATGTTTTATGAATTGATTATAAATAGTATTATAAATTGATTGAAACAAAAATTGATGTGGCTGTTTGTAATGTCAAAATAATAGGTATTTTTCATGCTCACACGGTTATTTGCACCATACTTATGATTTTTTTTTTCTCTCATAAAAACCGTATAAAACTTTGCCCGGTCCAGGCGGAGCCTGTACTTTGATATCCAGACTGCTGATAAACATATATAAATATATTTATATTACTAAATACACACGGAACAAATCGTGCGATCGTACTCATCACACAATTATTTGTCCTGGGTGGGAATCGTAACCACATCTGGCTGACTGATCCGGGTCATTATCCACTAGACCAGGCCAGACGTACATTATTTGTTGACTACTTATCAGTATATAATTGTCGAGACCAGATTAAACTTCACATGTTCACGTGTTTTTACGTTTGGTGCATTCGGTCGAAGCGTCAGATAACTTAAACCTTACCTTATAAATATTGTGAGGTTTAAAACCCTATCTACACAACTTATATGTAGGTATGCAATTCTTTATAAGAACAATTATTGAATAAACTTGGTGTAAAAATTATACCAATGACACCGAGTTGGAAAAGTGGCTTAATAACCAATGCTCAACTAATCTGTTATGATTTAAAGATAATATAGACAATTCTTTGTTTAGAATTGAATTGAAAAAGCTTTGCTTAAACAAACACATTGTGTAATATACTCTGGGATACGGACTTTGGATGTTGATCAAACATGATGGGTAGAAACTCGTCGACCGGGAGCATGTTGTCCAACGGCTTGGTGTCGAGCAGCTTGCGCGCGCCTCGCTCCGAGATCAAGTAGCCCAGCGTCCAATATGAATACAGTGGTTTAGTGGTATGCGCCGTTACGAATTCCTCTTTGTCGTCCATTAAAATCTTACGACCGATGTAACTGAAAAGAAACTTACTTTTATAATGGCTTAGGTGAGTGATAGTCATCGTGCATGATCGATATAGCTGTTTAATCGGACTGAGGGTGATTTAAATGGCCACACGAGTTTATATTCTATGTATAAATACCTACGGAACTCTGCTTTAGGTTTATCCCTAGAGAAACATTGGAATCCTTTAATGCAACATATTTGCTTTCTTTTGTGGATATAAGCTTTATGTTTACTCTCCTCTGGATGGCATTAAAAAGTTTATCGCTCCTAAACTTATGAGTTCGACTTGAGGAGAGAGAAAATATTTTCTTAATGTATATAAAAAGAAGAACAAGTTTCAGTAAAAAAATACCGTTGAATATGGGCGGGCGCCCGCGTGCACGGCGAATGGTCATGGGGGAGAGCGCAACAGTCGTGTAGATCCCCATGGCAAGTCTGGGTGTCATCCTTCCCGTGGTTGCCGCCTGTTTTAGGTCTGATTCCCTACGAAACAGATATAACAGAAACACCCAGACGCAATTCCATCCCACAAAACCTATCCTTTCCCATTTCCTATCCCATCCACACCTACTGCGGACACTAAGTGGTTGGTGCCTGCGGCCTCACTATCAACAAAGACTGAGAGTGAGGGGGAGGGGGGGCAACCACCCGCATGTTTGTGCCGTGTGCGGGGACCCGTAAGGGAGGATGAAGGGATCCTGGTAGTTGAGCTGAAAGGCAACACACTGCTTCGGCCTGGATTTCTCTTTACACGGGAGGCTGAAGGCTAGCCACCTTTGGTCAATCGGCTGTAGTATCCCGTCAGAGGGCTGCTGGGCGAGAGCTCTTCCTTGGTGGGGGTGGACGACGGGTGGGACGACCAAGTCTTCCTACCTAGTTCGGCCTGCCTTCTGCCAGGGAGGGAGCTCTATATTTCCTTGTTACTTCTGGCGTCGTGTGCCTTCTGCCGCGGCGTCCCCACTTGAGGGCTCCAAGGAGGGTGGAAGGACAAGGAGATGAATAGTATACCAAACACATCATGGATACTAAAAACACACGTACAAAAAAAACCACCAAGCCGGCACCGAGGGTGAACAACCCAAGTGCCAGGCTAAACCACCAACCGGCTGACCCCAGGGTGAACAACCCAAGGGTGAATCCGGCAAACACACCTTCGGCTGCTGCTCAGGCAAACAACCCGACCGCAGCGCCATCCACGACTCTGGCGACACCTCTGGTGTCTAACCAGAATACGGAGCCAGTGTCGACCATCGACCTCTCCTCTTTGAGGGCAGCAATGCCCGTACCTGCGGGACCCGGCCTGGAAGAAACCGGCTGGAGCCTGGTAAGGACAAAGAAGAGAGCGTCGAAAAAACCGAACCCGTCCAAGAAGACCCGTAACGCCAACAGGGCGAAAGCCCGAGTGGAAAGGCAAGCACGGTGTCTGACCTCGGGTGGAAGTAAGCGGCTTGAAGTCGCTGAAGGGCCCGAAGGGGCCCACGTTGCCCCCGCCAGTGATGTGCTGCCCCGAGGCGAAGACGAAAGTCAAGCCACGGGGAAGTGTACTCCTGTGGGGGCGCCACCTGCCAAGACGCCTGTAGCGGCCAAAGTACCCTCTAGGCAGGGTCAACCTGGACAGGGTAAACGGGCAAGACGAGCGACACGTGGAGGGAAACCTTCGAGTGAAACAAAGCCCGTCAAAGAACTCGCCCGGACGAGTCTCGCACTCCCCAGGGCAGTGGCAAGCGATTCAAACCGCTGCCAAAGACCGGCTCCACGAGTTACTCCGACGCACTAAAGGCGAATGACCTTTGCGTCGCGGTCATGCTGGAGCCTTACCACGACCTCACCAAGGCACAGGCAGAGGACATCGAGGGCCAGCTGCAGGGCGTGCTAGATGAGGAGATCTTCTCGCCCGGCACGTCAAGCGCACCCGTCGCTGCGCCACAGTTTAGGGGCAAGGCCTTCTACAGTGAGGGCGCCCTTAAGATGTGGTGCAATGACGAATATGCCCTACAGTGGCTTCGCCGATCCCTGGTAAGGATCCCATCACCACGTGAAGGCACCAAACTGGTCGTCAGGAGGCAGTCTGAGATCCCGAGAAGGATCAAGGCTGGACTCCTGGTACCACAAATCGGACCAGATGATACACTGGTCCGTATACAAACGAGGCTAAGGTATCAGAATAGCCAGTACAATGTGGCCAACTGGGCCCTCTACCATGCCGAGGCGCAGGAGGAAAAGAAATGTCTCTTCCTAGTGCTCGGCATCCCAGAAGAGGACGTCGTGAAGCTCAAGGCTAGCGAGCGTAGAGTATACTACAAACTGGGTAACCTCTACGTTCGCTTCCTCGATGAACGTCCCGCCCCACCAACTAACCCAGACGAGGAGCCAGAATCGGCCCCACAACACCGTAAGGACGGCAATGGAGGGGATCCTCTGATGCCCGTTGAGGAGACAGCCTGCCGGGGTCCACCTCCTGAGGAGTTGAAGGACCTACCGGTGGGCGAGAGTGACCTCGACGACATAGAGGACATGCTGAACAGCGATGATGGCGCTGTCTGCACCCCCCCATAACACCCTTATAGCCATCCAAACCAACCTCCAGCACAGCCATACAGCAACGGCTAACCTACGCAGAGAGCTGGAGGTAAAAACCAACACCGTAGCCCTAATCCAGGAGCCGTGGATTAGGAAGGGCAGGATCTGCGGTCTAAACAATATTGGAGGTAAGATACTTCTCAACACTACCATTGATAACCCGCGCACTTGTATTTATACACCAAAACATGCGTGTACTACCTTAATGACCGAGTTCTGTTCCAGAGACCTTACCTCTATTAGGTTAAAGGAACCCTCATCAAACCTTCCTGACGTGGTGATAGCATCAGCCTACTTGCCGGGCGATGCTGACATCCCCACTCCGGAGCTGGCTGCGCTGGCACACCACTGCGAGCGTGAGGGTCTGGAGCTGATCATCTCTGCCGACACCAACGCGCACCATGCGCTGTGGGGCAGCAGGAGCAACAACCGGAGAGGTGAGGAATTTGTATCGTTCCTATTATCAACTAACCTTAACATTATCAACGTGGGCTCGGAGCCGACATTTGTCACATCCAGGGCCCAAACTATAATTGATCTTACTTTAGCAAGTGAGCACGCATCGCAACACATATCGAACTGGCATGTTTCGAACGAAGCATCGTGCTCAGACCATCGCTGGAATCAAATTTAACTTTGAAATGAAACTTAAACTACCCGATCCCCGACGGAATCCCCGCACGATGGACCGGAAACGGTATGAAACATCTTACTGCGGAGAATCTGCGAAGCATCAACCCAACATATGCTACGGGGACTGTTAAGGACATTGACAGTCATGTTGTCAACCTTACACAGACACTGATCGATAGCTTTGAACAAACATGCCCACTTTCCACACCCAGAACTGGACCACAGAACAAACACCAATGGTGGGGTCCGGAACTGGAAAGACTACGTCGTAAAGTGAGAAAGTTGTTCAATAAAGCAAAAAAACTCGCGATTAGACCAACATTGGGATGCCTACACGCAGGCCCGACAACAATATAAGAAGAGAATCAGAACCAGGAAAACTGAGTGCTGGAGAAACTTCTGTACTAACATAGAAAACAACAACCAGGCTAATAGAGTCAAAAGCATACTGTGTAGTAGAGGCGATCACAATCTTGGCTCACTGAAGAAGCCTGATGGTGAGTATACCAAAACCAGACTCGGAAGCCTCAGAGCTGTTATTAAAAACACACTTCCCTGGATGTCGCATTTCAGATGTGATGGAAAAATGGGAAGACAGATGGGAAAAACCACCAGATGATACAGACTGGGATACGGCCCGCAAAGTTGTCAATCATGACAAACTAAGATGGCAATTAACAGCTTCCTACCATTCAAGGCGCCAGGACTAGATGGTGTCTTCCCAGGCCTACTGAGATGGTGTGATATGACACTACTGGACCATCTTGTAAAAATTTATAGGGGCTGCCTGGCGCATCAGTACATCCCCTTGAAATGGAGAGAAGTCAAAGTAGTCTTCATCCCCAAACCTGGTAAAGGTGACTACACACAACCCAAATCACACCGACCTATTAGTCTCACATCTTTTCTACTAAAGGTTCTCGAGAGGCTAATAGATAGGGAAATCAGGGAAACTGCGTTAGTCAGTCACCCTCTACACCCTCAATCAACACGCATACTCGATGGGTAAATCAACAGAATCTGCCCTACATCGAGTTGTTTCATATATAGAAGACAATCTAAATCACAAAAGGTCAACACTGGCTACCTTTATCGATATCGAGGGAGCCTTTGACAAGACCAACTTCACCAGCATTAGCCAAGCTCTATCTAGGCATGGTGTTGATTCCACAATCTCAGGGTGGATCGATAGCATGCTAAGATATAGAGCTATTCAATTCACTGTGAGCGAAGTGACTAGAGGAGTGGTGGCTAGAGGTTGCCCCCAGGGCGGTGTACTCTCCCCTCTTCTATGGAACCATTGTTGTGGATGAGCTCATCGCACAACTTAATGACCAAAGATTCCTCACAATAGGCTATGCAGACGATCTTACTATTCTTATCAGCGGTCCTTTTGAGAGCATTACATGCGATCAAATGAGACTTGCACTGAAGATCGTGGAACAATGGTGCGTAGCACACAACCTGACAGTGAAACCCATCCAAAACAGAGATGATCATGTTCACAAACAAACGCAGCCTAGGAAATCTCAGACTTCCTAAGCTATTTGGAACACAACTTACTCTTACCAAAGATAGGTCAAATACCTAGGAGTAATACTGGACAGTAAACTCCTGTGGAATATGCACCCTCGATGAAAACTGAATAAAGCCTGCATTATTTCTGCCAATGCAAGCGGCTACTCGGCAAAAAGCTGGGGGACTATCACCCAAAATCAACTTTTATGCTATACAGGACAGTCATAAGACCAATAATCACTTACGGTGCTGTTGTCTGGTGTGCAGAGAACAGAGCTTAGCACCGTCATAAACAAACTGCAGCAATTCCAGCGACTTCCATGTTTCCGCGGTCACTGGCTGTATGCGCACAACGCCTACTGCCGCACTGGAGGTGGCTCTTGGTCTGCCCACCCCTTGGATCTATTCATACAGCAGGAGGCCGCCATGGGATCATTGACTCAAACACCTGGGTCTATGGCACAAAAGTGAGGGATCGCACTCCAAAATTATGGGATCAATTAGTGGAATACGAACACTGATAGCAGCTCCATGCGATAGAATCCCAAAACACCATATCTTCACAAGAAGATACTACATCCAGATACATGGAAATGACCCGAGATCATCCGCATTAACGAAGTCCGAATTTACACGGGACGGTTCAAGACTAGGTCAGGAACTGGAGCCGGAGTTGTTCTCGCAAGAGCCTAAATATAAACAAATCACTAGCGTTAGGCCAACACAGTTCCATATTTTCAATGTGAATGTGTGGCAATAACTTACGCTGCCACAACGGCCATGTCAAGGGGTATCAAGGACTACAACATCCGAATAATATCCGACAGCATGGCCGTCTTAAAGGCACTGGAGGGCAACACAATAACCTCTGGTATTGTCTTCGAATGCCACCAAGCACTGGAACAGCTCGCTATATTCAATGGGGGTACTCCTCCAAATGGATTAAAGGGCACAGTAACTCACACGGGAACGATGCCGCAGATGAGTTGGCAAGGAGGGGCTCGGCAACCCCAACCTCTGGCCCAACGCCACTCCTGCCCATATCGTTTAACCAAATACGATGCTGGGTCAGGCAACGGACCTTGTGAAGCACACAACCGGAGGTGGAAAACTCACCCGGCTGCAGACAGTCCAAACTGGTGCTGAATCAAGTGCACACCACTGACTCACCTGCAGATTGATCAGTCTTAGTCAGACCGGAACTCAGAATGGTTGTCGGAACTATTACAGGACATCTAGCCCTGAACCGACAACTATTCATAATCAATGCGACGGACAGTCCCCTGTGCAGGGGATGTCTGGAAGCTGAAGAAACGGGCCGCCCACGTAGTCCTGGAATGCGAGGGAGTGGCCACACAACGGGCAAGTATCATTCCTGATATAAAGTCGCTCCTAGAAGCCTGTGAACGCCCAGGAGGCTTCTGCGCTTCTGGAAGGAGCTTGGTTGGGCTCACCTAGTCAACCAATCCTCGACGCATAAAGGACCACTCTGAGTCTAAATGCGGAAACCGAAGCCCACAACCAATACCAATACCAATACCGTTGAATATGGTAGTTGACACCTTAGTCAAATTAGTTACTGTTTATCATCTGTCAAAACGACAACGGTTGTATGAAAAATGTACTAAATACCATCTTATGACGGTCACTATTTATCTAACACCTTTAAACGAGCAATTTCATGTAAATATTTATCAACAGCCTATAATAGTCCACTATTGACATGGCCTCTCCTTAAAAGTAGGTTTTGGCCTACTATACCACGCTGGCCAGACGGGTTGGTATAGGTTTGTGTCAAGTTTTTCTTTCTCTTTGCAGTGCTGGTTGCCCTCATCGTTTGCTCCCTGTAGGTCGCTCGTACGACAATCACGGGATGAATAGGGGTGATGACATCCGTAGTCTTATATATAATATCGTATACTTAATATATATCTATATGTTATCGTATTATATATATATGTATATAATATATTATATTGTTATATATCTGAATCTCGAAAACGGCTTTCAACGATTTTCATGAAATTTAGTATGCAGGGGGTTTCGGTGGTGATTATCGAAACATCCGGAATACAAAATCGGAAAATGAAAACCTAGCTAGAGTTAAGTTCGTCGGTCGTTCGGTCATCCAGGGTACTACCATTTAATTGAAGAATATATTTAAATGTTTATTAGATTTAATGCGTAACAGTTATATAAAGCTAGAATAATTTTAGTTTCCTAGATGTGTTGTTGATTTCGTTTTTTTAATATACATTCAACTACCCTATGCCTAACTGCACCGCTGAAATCAGTGTGCAGCCTGTGACCTAGCCAGTGACGCCTGTCGAAAATTGTCCAAAGGGTTTGTTCTTCAATTCCCCGTTTTCGTTTATTTAGGTAATTCCCCCGTGCACATTTTAAAATCCTAACTTAAGAATACTTGCAACATAAGGTATCCAATTTTCTGCAAGATGTAAACAAATTTGAGTGGACTAATATTAAGGTAGGGATAGTAAAACGATTTACTTACACCAAGTCCCAGTCGAGTTCTTCGCTTTCGCGCATAAGCTGCCAACGAATCTATTGCGGAAAGTACGGCCCGAACTGTATGTCGTCTCGCAAATCAGCGTGATAGGGATCTGCTCCTCAACGAGCTACTGAACACAACACATCGAGACTAATCTATAATTATAATAAACTAATTTTTTAATGTTTTTAGGTAAAAGTTAAAAATAAATAAGTAAGCACTGCACTGAGGGTAGGGGGTTTAAGGGGTCACCTCGCCGTTTCCTACTGCGCGAGTGTTGTGAATTCGATCCCCTAGGGGGACAAGTCTGGTGACCACTGATCCCATTTGTGTTCTGGCCCCGGGGTTCTTTTTGTCTATAAATCCCCGGAACAGGGTATGTCCTAGTCGGGGAGTTTGTTTTTTTTTTTTTTTAATAGTTGTTAGTATAATAAAGTAAATTGACCTTACCGTTTCCCAAATGTAATAGGAAAAGAAAGAAACCCCTTCCTGCTTTCTTTGGGCCTAAAAATAAAAAGAATTATATTAAATGGTTTTATATTTCCCAAACGAGGGGGTTTTCAAATTTTTTTCTTATTTTTACCCTCCCACGTTTTTGCTGTGGCGTATTGTGGAGCTTGATAAAAAAATTGAGATAATAAAATAAAAAACACATTCATTGAACGTGTTTTGGCCCTTTTTCAAAATTTGAGTTCAATCGGGACAGAACTTTAAAATTTTTGAAACGTACAGAAACCAATTAAATTTTTTATTAATAAAAATGAATTAAAGTGAAACCCTTTTTACCAAAAAAAGTAATCTTATCTAGAGGTTTAGAAAAAAAAAAACACGTCAAATGTTTCTTTCCTTTTGATAAGGGTCTTTGAGTTGGGGATCAGGTTAGGATCTTTTTTTAAATTCTTCATATCTAACCTCCTGGAAGTTTAAAAAAAGTAGGTCAATGATATAGTTGTATGGCACAATAGCGATCAAAAATTTTAATGGGGAGAAAGCAAGTACGCACCGTCAGACCTAGAATTATTTTATTTCAGATTTAGTAAAAAATGTAAAACAACAAAAATTTTTTGTTTGTTTTTTTTAATCTCATAAGATATGAGGGATGTAGGCCAAAACCTCCTTTCTAAGGAGAGGGATAGTCCCGCAGTGGTATTAAAGGATGATGATGATGTGAGAAAAAGGGAGTTTCTCTTCTCGTCTCAAAAATTTTCCGTGCCGACAGAGTCATAATTAACTCATACCTAATTTTTAGACCTTTATAAAAAAATTAACAAACTTTACTACTACTAAAAACAACTAACATTTACTACTAACTACTAACTTTATATTTACAAAAAATTTTGGAGTGCAAAAATGACATAAAAACCTAATCAATGTTACACTAAAAATTTCCCTTACAGCCGAAAATTTTTACATCCATTCCCGTTCTTTAAAAAATCTCCTTTAATCCTTTTTCTGTTTTCTCGAGGGTTATCTATAATCTCATTGCATCCAAATTCCAAGGTTTAGGGTATTCATTCAGCCCCCATGTAACTTAAGGGGGGGCCCCCCTCGTGATGCCCTTTAAACAAAATTTTTTCCCCAAATTCAATAAATTGTTCCTAAATTCCATTTTTAGTTCCGTTTTTAAAAAATTTTTTCCCAAAAGTTTTTTGGGAAATT